GCAGAAAGGAGCTAGAATAACTCCATAATTAAATTCCTTTGTAATAGGATCTCTCTCCTTCACTCCTCCTCCTCACAGTGTCTAACGACAGAACAGGCACTTGATAGTAGGTTGCTGAAATGTATTGTCACTGGAGAAGGGGGTCAGGGACCAAATAGAGGACATTAGTCCTTCCCCTGTAGCCTCTTTGCCCCTCGGTACCACCGTGCCCCAGTCAGCCATGCTAGACACCCAGAGTCATCATTAACTTCTCTTCCTCTTTTTCAACCCAGTGATTTCATTTCCTATGTATATTTTGACACTCCCTCTTCCCAAATGTCCTACCTCTGTTTTAGAATAGGCTTAATCTCTCGCCTGCATTATGGCAATAGCTTGCTGGTCTCCATTTCCAGGCTTCCATCCTCACATTTACCTGTCAACCAGTCACCAAAGTGAGCTACCCAGAATACAGACCTGGCCATATCTTTCCCGGCTCACTCTTTAATTTTTCTTAAATTGCTTCATTTGTGTGTATGCATGTTTACCACAGGACATGTCTAGAAGTCAGAGGACAACTAGCAGAAGACGGTTCCCTCCTTCTGTCATGAGGGTCCCTGGGATTGAACTCTGGTCATCAGGCCTAGAGCATCAGTCACCTTTAAGGCGGAGCCATCTCTCCAGTCTCTGATAAACCAGCTGCGGTGCTATACTCCTGCCATCCCAGAACTGAGAAGGCTGAGGAAGCAAAACTGCAAGAATTCCAGCCTGGCCTACATAACAAGAGCCAAGACCTGTATTGTAAAAGAATAAATAAATAAAGCTCCCCCAATGGATTCAAACTGCTTAATCTGACACATGAGATGTCCCAGTCTGGCCCTGCCAAATCTCAGCCTCATATCGCTTCTCTCTAGCCCTTTGTCCCTTCTCACTCTCAGCAAAAGTCTTACGCTAAGCAAGAAGCCTGTTCACGGCTCTACCATGCCTACCTTTGTGTTTCTGGCTTCTTGAACATCTCGGTTGCGCTCTCTGCTTGGATTTGTTTTAATTTTCTCCTTGCTAATTCTTCATTGTCTTTTAAAGATCAAGTCAGTTGCCACTCATCCAAGAAGGAGATGGAAAACAGCATCGCTCAAATCAGGACCAGGGCCCCTCTTTTGGTCATGTAATCCTCTGAACACAATAGCACCATCATGGGTCTGAATATATTTCTTTATATCTGTTTAAAGGGCTGACTCCTTAATAGGTTTAAACCTCACGACTACAAGAGAGTGTCTTACCCATCTTTTTTATGTCTAATACATGGTAGGGTCTCAGTATTTGTGTTGTTGTTGTTGCTGCTGCTGCTGGATTTGTTTGGTTGGTTGGTTTTTGTTTTTTTGAGACAGGGTTTCTCTGTGTAACCCTTGCTGTCCTGGAAATCACTCTGTAGACCAGGTTGACCTCGAATTCACAGCGATCTTCCTGTCTCTGTCTCCCAAGTGCTGGGATTAAAAGCATGCACCACTACTGCCCGGCTTCAGTCAGTGTTTGTTAATAGAAATAATTACTACACCATCTTCTGAAGTTCATGGATGCATGCACACATGTGGTACACATATGAACTCTCTGGCATGCACATACACATAAAATAAATAATTTTTAAGGCCTACTGTTGTGGAATAATCTTTTTGTACACTGTGAAGATGTATCACTCTAATTGGTTTAATAAAAAGCTGAACGTCCAATAGCTAGGCAGGATTTCCAGACACAGAGGACACCGGGAAGAAGAGCAGAGATTCGAGGAAACACGGAGGAAGGAGGAAAGGCTAGCTAAAAACAAGCTTAAGCTAAGGCTGAGCATTCATAACTAATAATGAGTCTCCATGTCATGATTTGGGGGCTGGCAGTCCAAGACAGCCTGCTACAACCAGGGGTGGCTTTAAAGGTTTCAAAAGCAAAACCAGTCCCAGTATTTCTCTCTCTCTCTCTCTCTCTCTCTCTCTCTCTCTCTCTCTCTCTCTCTCTCTCTCTCTCTCTCTCTCTCTCCTCCCTGCAGATCTGGATGTAGAATTCTCAGCTACTTCTCAAGCATACCACCATGCTTCCTGCCATGATGATAATGGACTAAACCTCTGAAACTGTAAGCAATTGCCAGTTAAATGCTTTCTTTTATAAGAGTTTGCTTGAGCCGGGTGGTGGTGGCATTCGCCTTTAATCCCAGCACTCAGGAGGCAGAGGCAGGTGAATCGCTGAGTTAAAGGCCTGTCTGGTCTACAGAGCAAGTTCCAGGACAGCCAAGGCTACACAGAGAAACTTTGTCTTGAAAATCAATCAATCAATCAAGCAAACAAACAAACAAACAAATATCAACATGGCAACCGCAATATTGAACCAAGTATGGGAATCCTCTGATTACCAGGTCTTATGTGATCACACAGCTCACAACCCATGAACTCAGCTCTAGGACAAGAGTTCCCAAATCAAGTTTAACTACCTCTAATTTATTAGAGGCCGTGTGTGTGTGTGTGTGTGTGTGTGTGTGTGTGTGTGTGTGTGTGTGCGCGCGCGCGCGCGCGTACCTATGGAGAGCAGGGGACAATCTTGGGTACCGTTCATTTCTCAGGTGCCACCCACTTTGCTTTTTGAGGATTTTTGTGGGTTTTACATTCCTTTATTTGGGAAGGGGTGCACATATGCCACTGAGCATTTATAGAGGTCAGAGGACAACTTGCAGGGGCCAATTCTCTCCTTCCACCATGTGGATTCTGGGTATCAAAGAGGTCATCATGCTTGGCAGCAAGTGCCTTTACCCACTGAGTCATTCACCAGCCCCACCTTGTTTCTTGAGACAGTCTCTCACTGGTCTGGAATTTGCCAACTCGGCTAGACTTGCCACAGGGATCCACCTGTCTCTGCCTCCTTGGCACTGGGGTTACAAGTGTGTCCTGCTGTAATGAGTCTTTGTCTGTCCCGCCAGCTCCCAAATAATGATACAAAGACTTATCATTAATTATGAAAGATCAGCCTATAGCTTAGGCTTATTCCCAACTAGCTCTTATAACTTAAATTAACCCATTTATATTAATCTACATCCTGCCACATGACTCGTGGCTGTTACCTCTCCTCCTGCACATCCTGCTTGCTCTGAATCTCCTGGCATGTGGTGATATAGTGTGTACCCTCATAAACTTGTCCGAGGATCAGAGGACAGACAGAGCCAGCCACTAGATTAGACATAGAGGTCAGGCAGTGGTGGCACACACGTTTAATCCAAGCACTTGAGATCTCATGCCTTTGCTTAGGAAGCACACATGCCTTTAATCTCAGGAAGTAATATGGCAGGACAGAGAAAGGTATATAAGGTGTGAGGAAACAGGAATTCATTCTCTTTAGGCTGAAGATTTTGTAGAGGTAAGAACTAGTGGCTGGATGTGATATTCCACAACATCCCACTGTGCCTTTTAAAACAATGTGGGTTTGGGGCCAGTGAGATGGCTCACTGGTTAAGAGCACTAGAGGACCCGGGTTCAATATCCAGCAACCACATGGCAGCTCGATATTGACTGTGTAACTCCAGTTCCCAGGGATCTGGAACCCTCACACAGACATGCGTGTAGGCAAAAACACCAATGCACACAAAATAAAAGGTAAATCTTAAAAAAAAAAAAAAAAAAGAAGTAGGTTCTAGGATCTACACCCAGGGCCTCTGCTTGCGCAGTCTGTTCTTCACTGAGCCATCGCTCGATGGCCTAGAGTTCACTTTTACTCACATCTCAGTCATCCCAAGTAAGGAAGTGGCGTCGCTTTTGGCCTCCTGCCTAAGTTCTTAGTCTCCTGAAGTCCTTTTTAAACAAATTTCTGGGGCTACAGAGAAGGCTCAGAGAGTAAGAGAATTTTTGCTCTTGCAAAGGATTCAAGTTCAGTTCCTAGTACCGGACACGGTAGCTCACAGCTGCCTATAACTCCAGTCCCAGAAGACCAGATGCTGTCCTCCGTTATCTGTGGGTACTTAGGTGTACACATTAAAAGGAAAAAAAATAATAAATCTTTTTTTTTTTTAAGGAAGAAAGAGCTGGGCAGTTGGTAGCACATGCCTTTAATCCTAGCACTTGGGAGGCAGAGCCAGGTGGATCTCTGTGAGTTCGAGGCCAGCCAGGGCTATACACAGAGAAACCCTGTCTGGAAAGAAAGAAAGAAAGAAAGAAAGAAAGAAAGAAAGAAAGAAAAGAGAGGGAGGAAGAGAGAGAAAGAAAGAAAGAAAGAAAGAAAGAAAGAAAGAAAGAAAGAAAGAAAAGAAGGGAGGAAGAGAGAGAGAAAGAAAGGAGAAGAGGGAGAGGGAGAGAGAGAGAGAGAGAGAGAGAGAGAGAATCCTTTGAGAACCTGATATAACTGTTATAGCTATCCTTTTACTATTGGCATACTGTATGTGGAAAAGCTTGCCCTCTCTCCCTCTTTCTCTCTCCTCAGTTTACCCAGGATCCATGTAAGAGGGGACTGTAGATTTAGCCTAAAGCTCACCAATAGGAAAAACTTCCATTAGTCTGATAAGTAGCAGCTTTTAATGAGTTATGAGGTCCCCACCTATCATAGTCCATCCCCATCTGCTGCCAACCAACAGTAGGGGCATGCTAGGAAAACCTCCCGCCCCAGGTCTTTGCCCTGGGTCCAAAGTCTGCATCCTACCTACATATGGCACAGAGAGTATCTGAATTTCACATGCATGAGACCTAGAAAACAAGGTTCCAAGAACAATCCCTAATTCCTGCAGTTCCTGAGATCACAAGGAAAGTAGGGTCAGAGTGGAGGCTTGGGGAGAGGCACCTCACACCAGATTTTGTGGCCTACATGTGACATTCTGCCTAAGAGAAACAGGTGAGTATTCTGTTGGAGGCCAGAGACTGAAAACAACATTTTTGCTTTTAGTATAGACAGTGCTGGGGGATCGGGTGGAGGGTAGTTGTGGGAAGGGATTCCACAGGAGAAGAAGAGAGTCTAGTGTGAGCCGGAGCTGACTGTTAACTCCCTCCCACATTCAGGAGACCATGACAGGTGTGCTAACACTTGAAACCATGGCCAGTGGAGAGGGATGTGGGCCAAGGAACTGTGTGGTGTGTGGAGACCGGGCCACAGGCTATCATTTCCATGCCCTGACTTGTGAGGGCTGCAAAGGCTTCTTCAGGTGAATGCTTTCTCCCCAACAGAAACAACCCCCACACTCCTATCAGTCTGCCTTGAAACATTGGCACATCTCCAAGCTTCTCGTGCTGTAATACTCTTAGGGCTAAGCTCAACTACCCTGTGTCTCGCACCCTCAGTCTTGCTGACCACAGCACTGCATGAAACTGGTGACATAATAAAAGAGCAGGCCAACCATTTGTCCTAGAGACACAGCCTATTAGTCAAGATCAAGAGCACTTGTTCAGTACACACTACCTGTAAAGTACCAAGTTAGTACTATACAAAGAAGGTTCCCGAGTGAGGGTTCCTTGTGTCCTCATGAAAATGCTCCAGCTACCTCCGAAGACCTTTGGACACAACTCCGATTAGCCTGTTGTTAAATCAATTCGTCTTTTAGGCCATACCCTTTCAGCCTCTTCTTATACCCACCTGCCTGTTCACTGCCATCCCAAATCCTGTAGTGTCTTTCTCTGTCTCACAGGAGAACAGTCAGCAAAACCATCGGTCCCATCTGCCCCTTCTCTGGAAGCTGTGAGGTTAGCAAAGCCCAGAGACGCCACTGTCCAGCCTGCAGGTTGCGGAAGTGTCTAAACGCTGGCATGAGGAAAGACAGTGAGTTGGTGGCTCGCTACTACCCCAGGAATCCTTGGAGTGTGCTTCTCGGCTTATTGTGTACCTAATAGCTCTCATGTCCCACATAGCAGGCAGAGTAAACTTTTTGAAACTAATCAGATTATGCCACTGTTTCCAAAATATCCAGTCTCTCTTTTTAAAAATATGCATTTATTTTTCATGTGTATAAGTGTTTACCTGCATATATATCTGTGCACCATGTGCATCTGAGCATGTCAGGTCCCCAGGAACTGAAGTTACAGATGGCTCTAAGTTGCCATGTGGGTGCTTGGAATTGAACCCAGGTCCTCTGCAAGATGAACCAGTGCTTTTTAACCCTGAGACATTTCTCCAGTCTCTTTCCTCCCTCCAATCTCTTTTGAGGGGAATGATTTCCTCCACATCCCACTTCAGACTTTGTCTCTTAAGCCCCTTCCATACATTCCAGCCACATTGGCTCAATGCTGTCCTTGAGCATATCAAGCATACTCTTCACCAGGACTTTCTCATTTGCCAGTCTCTCTACCTGAAATGCCCTTCTCCTTCGCATTCACATGGCTTGCTTTTCCTCTTCCGTCTCTTGAGGACACAGTACCTGCCATCTCATAGGTACTTCTTAGTTATTCACTGCTGCTCTCTCTGAACCAGGTAGCCGTGCTATGCTCCCAACAGATAATGAAGCTGGCCTCCCACAACTCAAGTCAGCTAAAAAGCAGAGTCCCACTTCAGCATCAGGGCCTGTCTGCCTCTCAAACTCTTGCTTTACAATATCACACTCCTTTCAACATGGAGCAGGGGAAAGGACGCTGTATGAGCTAAATGACATTGATTTGGGTTCTGCCTGTACCACTTATTTTATGACTGTGGAAGTGTTGCTGGAGCCTACGTTTCTGAAAAATAGGAAGCCTGCCCTGCCCAGGTTAGAGTTGCTGTATCCAGTGAAATCTAGCCACAGGACCTTTGAAATTACAATGCTATGCAAATATAGTGACATTTTCAATATTAAGACCCTTCTTCAATGTTCCCAAGGAGCCGAACATCTTATACCCTTCCCACTTTTCTCTCCACCCTTCCCTTCTTTCCCATGGTGCATTGTTTTCTGCTGCAGTGTATCACAGATAAATATGAAGTTGGCAGAAGCGTGCAGGGATCCCCTGCCACCTGAAGACACCAGTTCAGTGAAGTCTAAGGAAGCCTCAGAAACCTTCCTTTCTCCCTCGGTCCTTCCTTACATGGGGACGGACATTGAGTAGCCTCAACTCAAGGGGTGGCAGAAAGGTATTCTCTGCTGCTCTGAACAGCTTTGTCCTCTCTCTCGCCTGACGCAGTGATACTGTCAGCAGAAGCCTTGGCGTTGCGGCGAGCCAGGCAGGCACAGCGGCGGGCACAGAAAGCATCCTTGCAAATGAGTCAGGAGCAGAGAGAGCTGGTCCAGACCCTCCTGGGGGCCCATACTCGCCACGTGGTCCCCATGTTTGACCAGTTTGTGAAGTTCAGGGTGAGCACTTACAGGATCTGCCTTGGGTGCCTGAGGAGGTGGCCTGAGGGAGAGGGCTATGTACCATGCCCTGACAGAGGACAGTTCTCCAGAACCCTAGAGTGGGCAGGTTCCTCAGCCAAAAACCCCTTCTAAGGCTGGTGAGGCCCAAAGGACAGCCAAGGTTGAGGCCTCTCACTCACGCACTGAACTCTACAGCCTCCAGATTACCTGTTCATCCATCACCGGCCCTTCCCTCCTCTGGTCCCCGTGAGGCCTCTGCTCACACACTTTGCAGATATTAACACTTTCATGGTGCAGCAGATTATCAAGTTCACCAAGGACCTGCCCCTTTTCCGGTGAGTATCACATGATCTTTCAGGAAGTCAATGCTGCATATATCATACCGGTCTCTTAATAATGTCACATATCCCTTAAACTTTCCAAGCACTGGGTCTTAAATTTTCAGCTCTTAAGTCTGTCATTCAGGCCTTTTCAACGCGCAGACTTAAGTCTGAAGTGCCTTTGTTTTCTGCCCACACAGGTCCCTACCCATGGAGGACCAGATCTCCCTTCTCAAGGGGGCAGCTGTGGAAATACTGCATATCTCACTCAACGCTACTTTCTGTCTTCAAACACAGAATTTCTTCTGTGGGCCTCTTTGCTACAAAATGGAAGATGCAGCCTATGGTGAGCTGGTAGAGCATACAGGGTATGGATCCTTGTGGTGTACGGCATGAAGCAATGACCAGGAGGATCCTAAGCCCATCATCTCTCACAGTAGGGTTCCAGGGGGACTTTTTGGACTTGGTCATTCGCTTCCATGGGACATTGAAACGACTGCAGCTCCAGGAACCTGAGTACGTGCTCCTGGCTGCCATGGCCCTCTTCTCTCCAGGTGAGAATCATCCAAAAGCCAAGGGACTCTGGCCCCACCACCTCTACCAAAACTCAAAACTTTAATCTATCCCTGACCATCTAGCTTCTAAACCATAGAGTGGGTCTATCCCATTCTTGGCCCCTGGACAACGTGAGGCTTCCCACCCGTGTTCCCTGCCACCTTGTTCTTCCCAATTTTTCATCTCAGACAGGCCTGGACTGACCCAGAGAGAAGAGATTGATCAGCGGCAAGAGGAGATGGCACTGATCTTGAACAACTACATTATGGAACAGCAGTCAAGGCCCCAAAGTCGGTAGGTAGGAGGCTGGGGGCTCAGGAAGGAGACTGGGGGCTCAGAGGCTGCCTTGGGGGAAGGAAGGGATCTGAGAAACATTGAGATCAGGATGAATGTATTTTACTGCTGTTTCCTTTGGGAAACCAAGTACTTAGGAATCCAGGCCTTCCCTTGGGCCACCCCTATCACACATAGTTCCAGTATCCAAATTATTCATACTGCTGTTCCATCTCACTTTTCCAAGGTTTTTTGTTTGTTTGTTTGTTTTTTATTCAGTAGAGATGCAAAGTAGTAGCTCTTGGCCTGTGTATGATAGCATTCCTGAGATTGGTGATATCCATCACCTCACCTCTCCAACTTTTCCAAACTAAAGCAAAATTTCCAAAATCTTGTTCATTCTTCTTTTTGGCCCTCTCCTCTCCCTTGGGTCAGTTCCTTGAATTTTTCAGTTCCGTTTGAAGTCACGGTCATTCACAGTTTCGTGGACAAAGCCTGTCCCTAGTTCAGTCGTCCAGGCTCTGAAGTTCATGCCACTTCTGTTCTGCTCACTCCTTGATAAATCAGTTTGCTAAGAGGTGGATGCTTTTACCATCGAACAACACGCCCACCTCCTAGAACTCCATCTAGAAGGCCCCACCTTTAGATTCTATATAGCTGAAGTTCTGGCCAAGTCTAGCCATTCCTTTACACTTGACCTCTAAGCCCTGGGCTCAGGAAAAACTAGGCACAAAGAAGGAAGACAATGTTGACAGAAGCCCTCTTGGGGACTTCTGAAATTTTTCAGATATGGTTTGTGCCATCCACAGCATGATTCTCCAATGTTCAGACTTAGCCTCCTTGAGGGACAGTTCAGGGGACGGGAGACTCAGGACAAGACTCCCAGTTGCCTCATTTCCCTCTTCTTTCCCTGGTAACCCTACTACTCCCTCCAAAGGTTTCTGTACCCAAAGCTGATAGGCCTGCTGGCTGAGCTCCGGAGCATAAACAATGGATACTCATATGAAATCCAGCGCATCCAGGGACTGTCTGCTATGATGCCACTGCTTGGGGAAATCTGCAGCTGAGGCCCAGGCTTGCCTCTTTCCCCAGACTCCCCACACACTGGACTGGAAAGGGGAAATTGCTGTACCCAAGATGGGGACCAGCTTAAAGGAGCTCAGTGACAGCAATGAAATGCTGAACAGTAACTGTCTCTTCGTGTGGTCATCGGTGGGGCATGGAGAGGGCAGGGGGCAGAGGGTGGGGAGTTCGGGTGACCATAGGGTCAAAGTTGTTCTCTAGAGACATAGAAGATGGGAAAAAAGGAAGCCTCAGGGCTAGGAGGTAAAGTTCCTTCTGGGAATGGGTGGGCCCATTCTTCTGTCTTTCTATGGCCAGAGATTTAGCTCTTTAACCCTACTTTCCCCACCTTGGGAGGCCAAGGGATGGAAAATGGGAGGAATGGGGCAGGGAGCTGATCCCATGCAGATTTTTCTGCCCTGAAGAAGGAGGAGCTAATATTGTAATCAAACAAAAGTAACAAAGAAGAAAGTAGGGTGCGGGGAGCCAGATACATCCCTTAATCCTTCTCCTTCAGTCCAGAGCCATAGAGCTTGTGGAAAATTATAGTGGGGCTGATGGCAGATTTGGGAACCTCAAACCACTGCCTCATTGGAAAGTGATCCTGTGGCAAGCTCCAGTTCTGAGAAGGACATGGTCCCGTCCCCCACTCTGCCCATGGGACCTAGAAGTCATCCAGCAAGGTAGGCTCTGGGGTGGGACCTAGTTAGTCTCTGGCCCTAGGGCATCTGACTCAAAGGTTCCAGCTGCTGTGGAGGCTGCCTCCAGGACATCTTCAGCCCACAGTGATGCTGAAGCCACAATGGAATCTGTTGCGCCAGTGATTGAGGAAGGCTCCGAGGGCCAGAGTGACAGGCAGGGGAGGCATCTTCTTCTCCAACACAGCACCTACACACCAGTTACTATCCACCAAGCCTGCCAGGGAAAAGAATACTGATCAGGTTGTTTTGTAGGACTTGGAGGAAGGAGTCAACTGAAGTAGGGTAGAGCCTTCCTCCTTGCACATCCCCAGATTCCTCGGCAGTTCCAAATGTCAGAGTAACCCTCACCTCGAAACACCATATTGGCCTGGGGCAGAGTCAGGTGGTAACCAAAGGAGAAGGTTGTATCTTGTAGCCTTGTATTTGCCTCAAACTCCACTCCAACCTGAACCTGAGAAGCAGGGACAAAATGAGAGGCGGGACAGTCACCATGGCTACCAGAAGAGTCCTGACAGAGCACCAGCAAGCTGAACTCGTGTGTGAAAACATATGCCAATGTGAGAGTAGGGAGAATAATGGGGCAGCAGCCTGGGGAGACTTGAGGGGCAGAGTTTCTGACTGACTAGGATAGCGGATGAGCTCAGTAATCTTACCTGTTCATTCGCCCTGTGGTAATAACTTGCATGGGCCCCACCTGACCCAACATTCAACGTAGCTACCCAGTGTACCGCTGGGGGGAAAAGAACAGAGGGAGAAGAAAGTTACTGCAGTAAATCCCGGCAAGGAACCCCAGAAAAGCCCCGAGTCGCTCCTCCTCACCCCTGTCTCCCTTGGCGCCGTACCTGAGTACTTCCCAGCCAGAGTCAAGATGGCCCCCTCTTCGCCTGGTCGTCGGTGGTAAACCAGCTCTCCTCCTAGCACCAGCCGATGAGTGATGCTCTGCAGGAAGTGAGCAACCATGATCACTGTGGAGGAGCGAGGAGACAAGAGTCAGGTTGGCACCCTTACCGTCCTGTCACCCCCACTCTAGCCTGCCCAGAAAGTTCCTTCTCTAGTCCCCAAACTGTACCGAAGATGAAACGGCATGATTGACATTTTTTTTGCAAATGGACGAGCAAGAACTCTGTCCCGGTCCCCCCACCTGATTCCCCGATCAGGTCAGGATTTCCCAGGGTCAGAGTGGCGGTGTAGTCGTCTCCCCGATATTCGCCATCAAACTGCCAGGTCAGGAACTTGGCCTGCTGCGTCTGGTGAGGAGAGGAAGAGATAAAATACCCTTCCCTCTTTTTACGTTCAGTATTGCCTCTGCTCCCCCCCCCCCCCCGGCCCCCCAAGGCAGGATACCCATGGAAGAGAGAGAGGAGTGCCTCGGTAGATGGAGGCAGGAACTGTGGGTCACCTGGAAGACAGCCTTAGCTCGCAGCCGCTCTGCCAACAGAAGCAGGACCTGGGCGTTGAGACTGCCACTGCTGTCCATATCCCCCACCACGGTGGGGAACACCTGTTAAGGAATGTAGACGGTAAGGCTGAGATGGGCAGGTAGTTTTATTCACCTAACCACGAACACTAAGGGATTTCAGGAACATCACACAGTGCCCCCTGGTGGACGTCAAAGACAAACTCGGGCATCTTTGCGCAGGAATCTCTCTAGCCTCTCCCATTCAGAAGAGACACAGAGAACACAGTTGCTGACAACACACACATCTCCTCCTTCTCGAGACCTACGCCCCTGTGGGGTTCTAGGGAGTTGACGCAAGTGTGGTGGAGCCCTCACCTCAGTGGGGCTAAGCTGCCAGTCCCCTGCATAGGCGGCATGGAGGTGATAGCCTGGTAAACCCAGAGCACTCATGTGCACAGTATGAGCTACCTGAGGAAAGAAGAGACAATGGAGAGCATGACATTCTACTTCACTTCAACTCCCTACCCCACCCTTGATCTTTTTCCATCCATGAGATTCTTTTAAAAACCTCAACTATTCCAGCATATGCAGAGGGTCACTGGATTTTAAGCAACAAGTCCCACAAGCAAAGAAAGGAGAAGGGACCCCTTTGTCCCTCATTGTCCCACATAGCCTGGCTAAGACTGGAGTAAAGGGTGCGAAGAAGAGGATCCGGGGACAGGCAGGGAGGAGAAGTAAGGAAGGGCCCGAGAAGTGGGAGCACCTGGAAATGGCTACTCAGAACCTTGTTGACAACCAGCTTCACGCCCTCCATCTGTGCTGGAAATACATCTGAAAGAAGCGAGGGGAAGGGAAGGAATAAGTACAGATAAGGACTCCTAACCAAGGAGGCTAGACTTCCCTTTCAGTCCCTTACGAAGCATTGGAGGAAATGACCTCCTTTCAAATCCTGCAACGAAACGCTCTGCTTTGGACGTCTGATCCTTCTTGACTGCTGGGTGTTCCGGCTGCGCTCTCTCCTTTCTGTTCGCGTCACTGGACATCAGCTGGACATGCCAGACAACCCCCCCAACTCCACCCCTTCAACCTGAGACACCCCATTGCCAAGTCCTCACCTTTGCACAGCCGATGCAGCTCATCGAAGCTCCCGGGGTTGGGCAGCGGTTCCTCTCGACGGGGGCCCCGGCGGGGTAAAGTCCCCATCGGTGCCAGGCCCAGGGTGTTCCCCATTTTAGTCCAGGGGACAGGGAGGGTTTGGGGTTAGCCTGGGGAAACAATCTCCTGCTCCCTCTATCCTCCACGGGCTCCACCCCCCATCATCAGGCTCCCCAGTTTCAGAAACTTCCATATGGTTCAATGCTAGACCTGCAACAAGGAACAGTAGGGGGAAAGAGCGCCGATGGGAAAATTGAATCCCAGGCACACTCCCGCCCCACCGTTGATCCCTCACCCCCACCTGTCACCCCTGCCCGCTCTCCTATTATCTATTCTTAACCACCACCACAGGCTTCAACTAGCTCCCTGGTTCCTCTAGTCTTCATTCCCTTGTCCCAAAGTTTTGCCCGCAATGGAACACTAGCCCTTACCATCTCAAGCCATCCTGCTGCCCCTTTCCCCCAGGCACACCCCGGTCATCTTGATGGGGGCAGCCATCTTGAGTAATGGCAGAACCATAGCTTCACCCTGCGTTTCAAGCATGGCCATAGGCGCCATCTTGGAAATGGGCAAAGGAAGCGCTCAAAGACCCAACCCACCCAATGATGAAAAAAGGTGCTTCCATTTCCCAGGGACCAATGGGAGAGGAGGAAACAGAAGAGTGGCAGGCCTGGCAGCCCCCGAGCTTCACTCCGACGCTGCAGTGGCGAGGGGGAGTTGGTGGGTGGTACTTGAGAGTTGAGTCGAAGGCCACCTTACCGAGCTCGCCCAGCCTCTTCAAGGTCGAGATAAACTTTTGAGCACTCAAGACACTAGAGGGAGCATTTTTGTCGCTTGCACCACTGGAGTTCCTTGAACCGGACTTGAGAAAAGTGAAACTACCGTTTGAGTTTGGAGACGTATTTTGTGAAGAGACGCTCAGGGATTGTGAAAACCTAGTTCCCATTACTCTCAACCTTCCTGAAATCCTCTGGGGAGTCCCCACGGCCCTCCACCACACATCTCCTAAGGACTGCTGCTCACAAACACAGCTCTCCCCTGGAAAACAGAACCCTCCCTCTACTCCCTCCCGACTCTGGAATTCTACATGCCTTTGCCTTCTTGTTAGAAGAGGAATGATTGTGAGGGCTTGAGGGAGGCGAGCGGGTTGTGGGCAGAACTAATTTCTGAAGCAGCTGCCCTCTCTAGTTAGTCCTTCCTTGCAGAAAGGAGTAATAAAATCCAGGACGACGGCTACAGCCTGTACTTAACACTCTTCCCCCGGGGCCAGGGGCAAGCGGTAGTGTGCCCCTCGAACCGCTTCACAAGAGGAGAGCTGGAAAGGGGAAAGATTTCTTAGTCATGGTTTGCACCCCCTCACTAGCTTCCACACTTCCACCCCCCCACCCCCACCCCCACCCCGTATCTCTCAGTAGTGCTCCAGTGCACATAGGGTAAGCTTTACGGGCAAAGGGTGAAAGATTTCAGTCTCTACTTAGCTAATCCACAGGAAAGCTCTGGGCCTAGGGAATGTGCCTCTGTCCTCCCACACAATTAGAGCTGGACCAAGGGCCAGGACCTCACTGATAAGGTGATCAAATGACCAGGCACCTTCGACCTGGACAGAAACCTCTTGACTATTGCATTTGGGAGCAGGAGGGCAGAGGCTGTTTTTCTGAATTTGTTTTTTTGGGGGGTAGGGTATTCTCATCGATAAGAACCCAGGAGTGTTATTCTACATTCTCATGCCCCTCTTCCTGTCTCATTACACATTAACTCAAAAAGGGACAGAGTCAGCTGTATCTGTTCTGGCTTGTATTCCCCTAAGCCGCATTCCCTGCCACTCCTTTTTTCTTATTTATTTTCTTTTTCTTTCCTTTTTAAAAAAAGTTTTGTTTTTTTTTTTAATTTTTTAGACAGGGTCTCTCTATGCAACCCTAGAACTCACTATATAGACCAGGCTGGCCTCAGATTCACAGAGATCAATCTGCCTCTGCCTTCCCAGTGCCGGGATTAAAGGCACTTGCCACATGCCTAGTTTCTTCCTCCTTTCTTTTGTTCCCAAATACCTCTTTGCCAAGTTGCTATGAGGGGATGTAGGTTTGGGGGAATGTAGTCTATCCATTATGAGGTAAAGATAACAAGGGCTAAGGGCTTCATGTCAGAGCTTTCCAGAGAAACAATTTAGAATCCTGATTCCCTGCTACACATTAACCCATCAACTTCAGCCCTCGGTCCCAAAAGAATAAATCATAAGCAGATCTTGGTCTTCATGAGAGTTTATACCCCCTGCCTCTCATTCTAACACCAAGCGCCCCTTTGGCTTGTTCTTTTATCCGTCTCTCCAACTTGTTTACTCCAGCGTGATCTCTGCCCCCTCTGGACTTGCTCTTCTCTGTGTCACCTGACAGGGTGGGGAAGTCGATGTGTATATAGCCCCTGCCTCCTGTCAGGCCCGGAGTAGACGCCGAGGACAGCGACACTGAACAGGTATGATGAGGGCGCGAGAGATGTGGGCAGCATGTAAAGAGGATGGGACTTTAACCGTGGAAAAGGAAAGACTTAGGTTTGGCCTGGGGCGGGGGGTGGGGGGTGGGGATCCCTGGAAGGGGCTATAGCCCATCTGACTTCAGTGTCCTTTCCCACCAGCAGCTCGGTTCCTAGGCCACGTCCTCACTGCTGCCATCATGAAGCTGCTTGCAATGGTTGCACTGCTTGTCACCATCTGTAGCCTGGAAGGTGAGTTCATAACACGGAGAAAGGAAACCAAAGAAAAGAAGGTGCTGGGGGTCTTGGCTACCCAACTCCCTTGTGCCTCTATAGCTGAGCGTGCCAACCAGAACTCAAGAGGAAGATCATTCCCTTTCTAAAGAAAAAAAAAAAAAACCTAGCAGGACACCAATTTGAGGAAGGAACTAAAAGCTGGGGTGGATCTTGTGGGGTGTGAGGGGAGACCAAGATTCATTGCTGGAAATCCATGGAAATGAAAAGCTCATGCATATGTGTTTGTGTAGGGGCTTTGGTTCGGAGGCAGGCAGAGGAGCCGGGACAGCCAGATATGCCGACCATGTTCAGTCAGTATTTTAAGGCCATGGCTGACTATGGCAAGGACTTGATGGAAAAGGCCAAGAGCTCAGAGATTCAGACCCAAGTCAGGTAAGTCTCCAGGAGAGGGCTCAAGGGCTCCAGGACTGCAGAAAATAGGAAGATAGGAATTCTCATGGGAACCTTCACTCAGCGGCTGGGGTGCCAGATTAGGTTTAAATTGGGAAGAAAAATTCCCCCCTTACCCAATAGATTAAGTGTATTCCTCAGACAGATGGGGGCAGCAGGAAGTGGACCTTGGACTCCCGTCATCTCTAGTGTCTGATCCCCTGCTGCATGGAAGGTCTACTCCTTCTCTTACAGACTTTGATATACCAGGATACATCAGGGTGTATCACTTGGGAAACTGGGTCAGTCTGCTCTTCACTACCGATGAAGACCCTGTCAGTGACTAGGGCCGTTCACACTAACCTCTGGCCCTTCCCCTCCCCAGGTCTTACTTTGAAGAGACAGAAAAGCAGCTGACCCCCCTAGTCAAGACAGCCGGAACTGATCTGATGAACTTCCTCAGCAAATGGATGAACCTTGAGAAAGCAGCTCCTGCTGCTGCTAAGTGAGTTGTGCCCGGGCACCAGTCCTCCTGCCCCAGCTGCCCTACTGGCCTGCCCCAGAGCCAATCTCTCTACCTTCTGCTGGTTTTCTACAATAAATGCGGAAGGATCAAGCTGTGTCTCGTGTCTGGGTGATTGGGAGAAGTAGTGAGTGGGGGAGGAGCAGGAGGAAGGAAGGAAAAAGATCAATCTGTTTCTAAAAGGGGAAGGGGAGTTTTGGTGGGACCTGTGAAGAAAGGACTGAAGAAATAGATGATGGACGTGATAGAGTAGATGCCTGTGATTTGTCACCAAACCCAAGGAGTGTCCCCACGATGCTCTGTAGCATCAGTGAAGGACATGGACCCAAGAAAGGAATGAAGGACTCACAGACAAAAATCCCTTGAGTTGGGGGTCATAGGAAACAAGGGTAACCCTCAGAATTTCTCCTTAAACTTTCTATGAAAAGATCATGGGTTTGTTGTTGTTTTGTTTTGTTTAAAAAGAGCCCCGCAGCCAGGTGGTGGCACTCGCCTTTAATCCCAGCACTCAGGAGGCAGAGCCAGGCGAATCTCTGTGAGTTCGAGGCCAGCCTGGGCTACCAAGTGAGTTCCAGGACAGGCACCAAAACTACACAGAGAAACCCTGCCTCGAAAAACCAAAATTATAAAAATAAAAAGAACCCTGCAGTGTGATTCAAGGGCCCATCTTTCCTTTTGATCTTGGGGAACGCTGTGTTTCCGTCATCCCACAATAAAAGGTTAGGTTAACCCTTTTCTCCCAGAGCGCTCTAGTGTCTTCACTCAAAACCCCTCATTTAGCTGGGTGTGGTGGCCTTTAATCGCAGGAGCCGGGAGTTCCAGGACAGCCAGAGCTACAAAATAAACTCTGTCTCATAACAAAGCAAGCCAACAAACCAACCCAAAAGGAAAAGGAGAACAAACAAAATGGCTAAGGATATAGTTTATGGTAGATCCCTTACCTAGCATGTGTGAAGCCCTAGGTTCAATCCCAGCATTTGAACAACCAATATAAAAACAACAACAACGAAACTTTCTGTTTTATGTAGAACAATGTATATAGACAAGAAAGTCGGTGTCCCTACTTTCAAGGTGACCTTAGACAAGTTAATACGTCGAAGTCTGAATTTCTTTTTTTTTTTTGGTTTTTCGAGACAGGGTTTCTCTGTGTAGCTTTGCGCCTTTCCTGGAACTCGCTTTGGAGACCAGGCTGGCCTCGAACTCACAGAGATCCGTCTGGCTCTGCCTCCCGAGTGCTGGGATTAAAGGCGTGCGCCACCACCGCCCGGCTGAAGTCTGAATTTCTTATACAGGTTAGTGAGCAGATAAAATGATACAACGGGAAAATACCTTGAAAATATAAATCACTATGCAGTGCTGTGCTGTCCGGCACAGGGGATTGCCAGGGGTGAGCCTGGACACTCTGGAGTGCAGTGCTGTGTTGTCTGGCACAGGGGATTGCCAGGAGTGAGTTTGAACACTCTGGCCCTTTCTGGAAGAAAGCAGGCAGGTCGGAGACCAGCTCACTGCACCCTACATGGCTTAAACATCTCCACGAAGAGCTTCCTGGGGAGTCTGGGGAGAGGACAGTCATTGGCAGGGGATGCCTTGACTACCCACTGTAGAGGAAATGACCTCCCATTTGGACCCAGCTTGTTCCCCTTGACCTTTCCTACCCCCAACCTCTATGAGGTTCTCTCTGAGGCTCTTCTTGCTCCCAAATCCCCTGAAAATTCCTTGTCCTTATAAAATCTTCCACTAGGAGGGTCACATGATCCTTGTCATCACATTCCTTCTGCATGCTCAGCTTTCCAGCTATGCTAATTCAAACATGCACAAGCTCCACTGATACTATCTAGATTGGTGACTATTTTGGGTTAGACATACAGGCTTCTCCACAAACCGATCATGATTCATTTTTCAGACACAAAAAGCTACATTGGCCGGGCGGTGGTGGCGCACGCCTTTAATCCCAGCACTCGGGAGGTAGAGGCAGGCGGATCTCTGTGAGTTCGAGGCCAGCCTGGTCTACAGAGCGAGATCTAGGAAATGCGCAAAGCTACACAGAGAAACCTTGTCTCGAAAAACAAAAACAAAAACAAAAACAAAACAAAAAGCTACATTGAATACAGAAGTGATTTTTTAGGTTCCAATGTCTCCAAACACATCTATACTCCCAACACAGAGTGAAAGTGTAAGAATGCTCCCTGCTCTAGTTCCATCTCAGAGCACCAAGAGACCGAGGGTCTTATCACACATGTAGATACAGTCAGCATTCATACCCCAGAAGAACAAAGTAGCCAGATCGGCGGTGGTGGCGGTGGTGGCGCATGCCTTTAATCCAGCACTTGGGAGGCAGAGGCAGGTGGCTCTCTGTGAGTTTGAGGCCAGCCTGATCTACAGAGCCAGTTCCAGGACAGCCAGGGCTACACAGGGAAACCCTGTTTTGAAAAACAAACAAACAAAAAAAGCAAAGGAGCCCTGAAGTCCTGTGCTCTCAGCAGCTGAGTTTGCCTTATTCAAAACTGTACCTTCAACATCCAGCCCTAATGCTTTGTACAAACTGAACCAATATATATGAGAAATGACAAAGTGAGCGGAGTCAGTTCTGTGACAGCTTTATTGGAAGGTAATCCCTTTCTGCTGTTTAGCAAGGGTTGGGGACCAGGGAAGGAAAGAGGAATGAAGCAATAAACATCCGTGAGTAAGTCTTTAATGGAGACGAGGAACTGCTGGTGTACATTAATTTAGAGCCTAGCATCATTATGGGAGTAAGGTCAGCTTGCATCCCAAGCATGGAGGTAGCATAGTGATGTCAACCATGAGGGCTAAGACAGAACTAGAAACAGAAAAAGAATGCAACCGAGGACATATGTTCTAAAGCTACTGGGGTGGTTTCTCATGCTTCAGAGTCTCGTAAGTCTCTTGGTTCCGGGTATTCAGGCCCTGCAGGAGAGTCAAAGGATGATCAGGAGTTGGAGCTCACCACAGGGCCCCTATCCACCTCACAGGTGACCCCATTCCTATCCAGGTTACTCCAGCCTCCTTTTCTGACCTCTCAAGTAGGGAAAAGAGAGTCACTCACCGTGTAAACAGCCTCTGACTTCTGTAGAGACGAAAGGAGCAAGGCATTAGAGACCAATACCTTCTTCGGGGCCTCCCATCAGCTTCCTTCCCACCCAGGGAGTATCTGGGTCAAGGTTAGTGTTAGCTGCCTTGAGCTAGGAGCACTCGCATGACTGTTATGGGTACCCACATGGCCACAAACACACAGTACAGTACAGCACACAACTCTCTCGTGTATTGCTACCTCTACTTGATTCTTTCCTGTCCAGACATTTTATTTGCAGCTCAACTAGATGGCAGGCTGCTGCCCATCCTGAGGTGAGGGGCAGGGTGCAGGTTAGTGCCTAAAACACATGCCTTCCCAGAGGCCTCAGACCTAAGGCTAGTAACCCAGGAAGGTTGAGAGCCTAGAAAAAAGTGTTGACGCGCAGGTGTGGGAGACTCCGTACCTCATGGCTGGCTACAGCTGCCTTTCGGACCTGGATCTGAAGTGGGGGAAAGGCAATCAGTAAAGGAGAACTTGGAGGCCCATCTCCTTTCCCTCCAAACCATGGAGAACCCCTTCGGTTCCCCTTCCCGCCACCACCCTCCCACTTCTGGGTCCGGTTCTTAGACCGCCCCAGCCCGCCTTACCTTGAGTCGACAGTAGAGCAGGGTGAGAACAATACCATACAAAAACAGGATGGCGTCCAGGATATAGCAGAGCTGGGGCTCTCCCAGGGCAGCTGAAGGGATACAGGGTGCCCATGGGACCCAGTGCACAGGGAAGCGGGGGTTGTTGCTCAGAGGAAGGGAAAGGGGTCAGGGGGGTGGGACAGGGCCTTGTGGGGGTCCTTCTAAGGGAAGAAACTAACTCCGTCTTTAGACTGTCGTTTCTCTTACCTTACCCCTTACCCCACAGACTACGGCAGGAGTCAGATAGGAAGCATGAAGGGTTCTGCTGTGGTAGGACTTGGTTTACTGAGGGTTAGAGACTTCCCTGTCAGCCCCAGACCTCCCTTTTCAGTATTGTGGTTCCTCAGGCATCATTGAACACTTCTTCTACCTCAAGGACCCATCGGAGTTTACTGGGCTGAGACAAAAACCTCAGCCCAGAGGGGGAGGGGAGAGAGAAGAGTGGTAAATTTCAGCACAGAAACCACAAGAGTGTGTCTCTGCTCAGTCCTGTGACCTGTGGCTGAGGGCTGGACAGGAAGGATGTGAGCTGGTGAAGGGGGGAAGGCAATTACTCTGGTATTGGTCATCTTCTCAGACTCACTGCTTTTTGCCCCACAAGGCACTTAACTCTATCAAAAAAACAAACCAAAACTGAAGCGACTACTTTTTGAGGCGCTACAGATACCGCTGACTCTGCACTTTGTAAAGCGGGATCAGCTCAAAGGAATGACCACAAACTAAATCTAAAACATGGATTCTTCCTCCTGCTACTCTGCCCTGTTAATCATGCTGGGCCTCGAAGAGGGGAAGTTTGTGCAACTGAAAAAAAAAAAAAATCACACAGGAGCTGAGAGTGGCGGGTCATGCCTATAATCCCAGCTCTTGGGAGGCTGAGGCAAGGGCACTGCCGTGTGCTCCAGATCAGCCTAGAATATAGAGTGAGATCCTGTCAAATTAAAATTAATTAATTAATTTTAAAAAAGGGCTGGGTAGTGGTGGCACACGCCTGGGAGGCAGAAGTAGGTGGAACTCTGAGTTTGAGGCCAGCGTGGTTTATAGAGTTCAGGATAACCAGGGCTACACAGAGAAACCCTGTCTTGAAAAACAAACAATAGGGAACTGGAGAGATGGCTCAGCGGTTAAGAGCACTGACTGCTCTTCCACAGATTATGAGTTCAAGTCCCAGCACCCACATGGCAGCTAACAACTGTCTGTAACTATAAGATCTGACACCCTCACACAGACATGCATACAGGCAGAACACCAATGCATAAAGTAAAAATAAACAAATTTAAAAAAAAAAGAAAAACAAACAATAATTCACAACAAACGAACCCCTCACCACCACCACCACCCCCCAAAAAAAAAAACCAAGAAATGAAACTCTACCACCAGCGACGGGCACAGGAACTGAACATGATGGCCACACACAATCTCACATAGATGAGGCAGGAAGAGTATGAATGGTGCCAGCCTGGGCTACATAATGAGATCCTGCCTCCAATGATCACACAGGATCTGGGCTCCAGGGACTGCTCCCAGCTTCACCAGGACCAAAGCGGTGAATGTCAGCCTGCTCTGGGACCTTGATATTTTTGCCGTTATTTCCCATCTGATGCATGCGTCTCTAGGATTGGGCACTTTATGCTACCCATCCTCTTACCAGTTGACAAAATGGTATAGCCCTGTCCACTTCCACACAAGTCAAGTTACCAAGACTGGTAAAGTACTTTTTATTCTACAACACTCCCAGGCGAGATTGCACAAATCTCAAAACTACCTTGTGAGAGAAACATCAACATCGCCATTTTACGGATGATGAAATGCAGGTACTCAGGAAAGCTTAGAAACATTCAGGGCCAGAGTTAAGCAACAGAACTGGACCTCAAACCCAGTTTTTCTGCCTCCAAAGCACATTTGGAGGCCCTGCTTCCCAGGCATTCTCTGTTTCCCTACGGTTTAACCCCCATCCGTGAAAAGTCAGCCCTCCACCAGTGCTCTTCAACTCCTTGCTGGGCATGGTAGGACAGGCCTATAAACCCAGCACTTGGGAGGTGGAGGCAGGAGGTTAGGAAATCAAGGTTAGGGAGTTTCCAGGCTAGCCTGGGCTACATAATACCCTGTCTCCCCACAAGACAAACAACTCACACTGATAGAATGCAAAATAAGCAAAAGCTGAGGGGAGTTCTTGGGCAGCCTAGAACCTTAGAGCCGCTGGGTCTTAGGGCTTTTGCTGTTACTTCTCAGCTGATGATTGAGAACACAGGACTTGGCACTCTGCTGCCTACTGATGTCAGCTGACCGAATGGTGTGGCCCTGGCCATCCCCAGAAACAGTATTCTTGTCTCTTTGGACTCCCTTGCCTTACCCCCAAGCTCACAGACAGGCCCTAGCCTATTTAGAGGGCTTTATATATAACTATCTAGAGATCGGCTCCCAACAGAGATGGAGAGCATCCATTGCTGATCAAGAGATGGAACTTTCCCAGAGCAGCTCTTCATGCTGCACAGTCCCCACCCCTGACAAACAAACCCTTCATATTGGTCCTGAAGTCACTCGGAAGGTAAGAAAGGGACAATAAAAATGGAAATGATGAGCAGTGCCTGGGAGGGGACCCAACAGGGCTAACTTCTGAATCTGCCTCAGCCCTGTGCCCACCCGCCCAGCCCCAGCCTTCTTTCTTCCACCCCCAATTCATGCCCTAGATTCCCACCCACGTACAGCTAATGGTCCTCACCAAACCCTTTACCTACCTGCTTGTTCGACCAGAAGGAGCAAGAGCAAGACCACGGCTGGCATCATCTTGGACAGGGGCTTCGGAGCTCGGAACTGGCGATCAGCCGCCCTGACAGAACTGCGCAGCTGTGCCCATGAGCAGTTCCCTGACCACAGCTCCCCCTTCCTGCCCCGCCTTCCCCCCACACTTTGGCCCCTTCCCCTTCCTGCACTACAGACCAGGCGGCTCCCGGAAGGGCCAACTAGGTCTGGAAGATCTGGCCTCTAAGCCTCAGCCCTTTCAGGGACCAACCTCCTAACCCACAGAATGAGCAGACTCTTTCATGCTTGGCAAAGGCTGTCTATATCCGCCATGTTTAACAACCCCTCATCCACCACTCAGACATAGGTCGTATACATGAGGCAAACTGCCCGAGACTCCCTTAGATCCCACCATAGCCCTTACCTTCCTATCTGGAACTTTATATACCCAGTCTTCACTTGAGTTTAACAGTTTGCATAGATGCTAAGAGGGTTTGGGCAGGAGGAACTGAGGGGAAAGGGGAAATGGGGAATGGAGAAGTGGAAAGGGCAAGAGTCAGAGACGGGGTGGAGATTCAGCTGGGAAAATCGAACAGAGAAATACAAAGTGAAAGACAGTAAGACACCAAGAAAGACTCATTAGAAGCTTGAGCGTAGGGGCCGCAAGGCGGCTAATTTAATATAATTTCTCTTTTTCTAGTACATGCACAGAAAGTCTGTACAGCTAAGTCAGCGTGTACATGTATGTTTGTTTATACACACGGAGACACACAGCCTCATTTCCTGTGAGGGACAGGCCTTGCAGAGGAAGCTGCCAGGCACGGGAGCTCAAGGGCTGTGCCTTTGCTCATCGGTCTATTTCTCCAAACACAATATCCTGAGTACCTAAAGGGTTAGAGGATGAAGGTTATTGTCAGAGGTTCAGAGCACATGACTGTGTCCAAGACACTCTGGCCTAGAGTCCAGAACACAGTCTATACTGAACATTGAGCGGTTGATTTTGTTCCTAAATGGAATCCCAAACCCCTTGTCTTTGACACCTTACTGCATAATAGGTCTCATACCTATGATGGCTACGACATCTGCCAACATGTGTCCCTTAGACATCTTGTCCAAACCAGCCTGTGGAGAGGAGATAGGAACACGTTAATGCAAGTTTGCAGAGGAGAGCTCTTTAAAATCCCATCCAAAGGCAGGGTGTGGTAGTATACACAGCTAATCTCAGCACACGGGAGGATGTTGATGAGTTTGAAGCCAGACTAGTCTACATTCTAGGCCAGCCAGAGCTACATACTGAGACCTCATCTCAAAAACAAAACACAGCAATGACAAAAACCCCAAGCCCAAATCCTCATCCAGCCAGGCACAGGAGCTTATATCTGTAATTCTAGCACTTGAAAGTCTAAGGCAGGAGGGTCACTGTGAATCCAAGGAAAGCCCACACACATATAGTAATCTCCAGGCTAATTTGGGTTTGTAGCAAAATTCTATCTTAAACAAACAAATGGAACAAAACAAAATCTCCTCCAAGAGTTGGGTGTGGAGGTGTACTCCTGTAATCCTCGTACCTGGGAGGCTAAAGTCCAAAGACATAGTAACTTTGAGACCAGCCCTAGCTACATAGGCAGTTCTAGACAAGCCAGGGCTGTATAGCAAAGCCCTATCTCAAAAAGCAAGGTGCTGGAGAGGTGGCTCAGCTGCTAAGAGTATGTACTACTCTTGCAGCGGACCTGAGATTGGCTCCCGAAACCAACAACAGGTAGTTCACAACTGCCTGTAACTCCAGCTCCAGGGATCTGATGCCCTCTTTGGCCTCTGAAGGCACCTGCACTTATGTAGCGAACATATACACACATACATACATATATAAAAGCTAAAAATAAATAATTTTTTTAAGTTGCTGAAAATAAATAAAAATCCTCAATCAAGGTCAATAAATTATTAATGTATTGCAGTTAGAACCACTGAGATTGTCTTACCAGGTGGGCAAAACCAGGAGCCTTGATCTTGCACCGGTAAGGGCGGCTGCTGCCATCAGACACCAGGTATACCCCAAATTCTCCCTGTCCAAGGAAGAAAATTGGATGCCTCCTTAGTAGGAAGAACCTTCTTCTCGTCTACCAAAGTCTCTCTGGTCACCAGTGAGGGAGCACTCTGTTCACTTCTACCTCCAGCCCCCACTCCACACACTTTTTCTTCCCCTCCTCCCTCACCTTAGGAGCTTCAATAGCAGTGTATGTGGCTCCTGGAGGAACTTGGTAGCCCTCAGTGTACAGCTTAAAGTGATGAATTAGTGACTCCATGGATGTCTGAGGAAAGGAAAAAGGGAGCATCAGGAAACCAGATCCAGTCAGGCAGTGGCAGTGCATGCCTTTAATCCCAGTACTCAGGAGACAGAGGCAGGTGGATCTCTGGGAGTTCGAGGCCAACCTGGTCTACAGAGTGAGTTCCAGGACAACCGGGACTGTTACACAGAGAAACCTTGTCTTGAAAAAACCAATAAAAGAAAAAGGAAGAAGCCAGATCCGAGTTCTGCCCTTGGGCTTTCCCCCAGCAGACATAGCAATCTCTGCCCTTCGGGAGACTAACAACACACATGTAAACCAGGAAGCAGGTAGACAGGAAAAAAGATGAGTGTGGTGAAAGGGTCAGAGTCTTTACAAGTCAAACTGAAAGGCAGGATCTAATCCAAGGACATTTCTCCGTGGCCACTGATCCCTTTCCCGCACCCAATCTCTCTTCCCTCTCCCTGCAGCCAACCTTCATCTCTGCTCGTTTAGGTGGAGACACTTTGGCATCATCAACCTTGATCTCCCCCGGAGGCATCTTGTTCAGACACTGTAAAATGATTCGAAGGGACTGGCGCATCTCCTCCACACGACACAGGTACCTGAAGTAGATGAGACAGACTTAGAACAAGAGAAAGCAGAGAGAGGAGTAAGAAGCAGGAATCTGGACAGACGCCCTTTGGGAGACATGAAAACTGTTTGGTAAATGTTCCTGTTTCTCCTCGTACAGACTCTCTGCTTGCTTTGGCTGCCCATATAAACCCTTCAGTGTTTTGAAGGACCACTGAGTCCTTCTCCAAATCTCTCTCTCTCTCTTTTTTCCAGCACGTGGCCTGCAGTGTTTCTCCTTTTACCCTCTTAAACCCAGTTTGGACTGCAGAGTCCGGGAGTCGAATGGAAAGATAAACAAAGAGAACAACAGTAGCTAATCTTACTCAGGGTCAGTAAACAGGAATGGACTGTGTAGCTTAGAATCAAGAAGGAAGAGCGCTGGGTCAGGAGGATTCCAATCTCAATTACTAACAGGCTAATCCCTAACTTATGCTTCATCTTTCTCAGCTACAAAAACAACCAAACTAGTTTTATCTAAGGCAGGATGGCAGGATAAGGGTAAAAAATAAATAGCTCTATTATTTGGTGTGTGTGTTGGAGGAGAATACTGGGGATTGTGAATGCTAAGCACAACTCTACCAAGTTTAACACATTATACAGGCTCCTACAGACACTAGGAAACAGAGCAAAGAAATCAGCAGGACAAAGAGCTGAGCAAGGATTTGGGTCTTACCTATCATAGCAGTCCCCTCGAGAACCAATAGGAACATCAAACTCGACCTGGTCATATACATCATAGGGCTGGGTCTTCCGCAAGTCCCACTGGATGCCTGAGCCTCGGAGCATCACTCCACTGTAGGGTACAATGGGCATAAGGGCCACCCTCCACAAAAACAAGAAAGGACACACATGCTTCCTATTTCCCTCTCCCTCCCCAACACTTTGGTTATGGGACACAAACTCAAGGCATGGACAGGAGAGTACCAAACGTGCTTGAGACCAAGACACTGGGCTGTAACTCTCTACAGCCCCTCCCACCCCTAAGGAAAGAAGTTGTATTCTCCTACCTGAATCCATAGTTAAGTGCGTCTTCTGCCGAAACAACCCCGATATCCATTGTCCTATTCCGCCAGATCCTATTGTTGGTCAGCATCTATGGATAGAGAAATCCAGTGTGCTAATATTCTTCATGACAATCTTCAAAAGCCTCTGTACTTATATAACACTGGGCACTAAAATTCCACAAGCCTTTTTGGGGGATAAAGATATTTTTTCCCCATTGATTTCTATCTTACCTCCTCCACCTCATCGATCCGAAGAGAGAAGTTCTTAGAAAACTCATAAATGTCATCCATAAGCCCAAGAGGTAGGTCCTAGAAACCAAGTGGTGATTCTTGTCATAGCACCCCTTCCCACGGGGCCGGAGTCCCGGTCCATCAGCCCACACTGCCCTCCAGTGGTCAAAGAGGAAAGCGGCCTGGACGGGAAGTGCGGAGGCAGGCGAGCCACTCACCTGGTGCACTCCTCCTGGTCGGATATAAGCAGCGTGCATTCGGGCTCCAGACACCCGCTCATAGAACTCAAACATCTAGACAGAATGCACTAGGGGTGAGAAATAAAGTCCAGGGACCCCCAAGTTCAGCAACACAGTAGCCCATTGCCCTACCTCTGACTTCTTGTGGCTAGCCAAACGCCTCATGAGACAAGATTCCCACAAACACAATCCAAAATACACTGCTCCCTTCCCCTGTTTCCATTTGTCTCCCTCTCTGCCCTCTCTACTTCATGTACTTCCTTCCCTATTCCTATCCACGCCTCCCTTATACCTTCTCTCTTTCTTCAAACATCCAAAAGAAAGGAGTCATGGCACCAATGTCCAAGGCATGTGTGGTCACAGCCATGATATGGTTCAAAATCCGTGTGATCTCTCCAAACAGCACTGTGAGATGGAAAGATAAGAAGTGATGGACAGGGCTGGAAGGATGGCTCAGTGGGTAAAGGCTTGCTGACAAGGCAGCAGCAGGGAACTAACTCCCCAAAGCTGTCCTCTGACCTCCCCACATATGCCTTGACACATGCCATTTCACATGCATCAACATACACAATAAATATCCGAAGTGAATATTTATACATATTGTGTGTGTTTTTAGAAAGAAGGACATAGGAGCCCAGGGCTCATCCTGTGTGAGTGGAATCTGGAATCTAAATATCAAAGTTGAGTTCAATGCACTTAGATGTCCTGTGCTCACAGTGGGCAGCAGAAATAAGGAGCAGAACAT